GAAAGAGAAAGAGAAAGAGAAAGAGAAAGAGAAAGAGAAAGAGAAAGAGAAAGAAAAAGAAAAAGAAAAAGAAAAAGAAAAAGATAGAAGCAAGCTTATATTTTTTCCAATACAAACTTTCAAATTAAAAAAAGTTGGCCTGGGGCTTTGTCTGATAAGAATGCTCTTCCCCCAATAATTACTTTTTAAAGTTATACCAGTGCTTGCATGGATTTAATTGCTGTTTTCCCCCCACCCTCCAAAAACACATTACCAGATAAGAACTCAGTATAAACTAATCACTTTAGTTCTATGTTGTTGAAGGTGCCCATCTGAGTGGCTTAGAAGAAAATTAATCCGTCAGATAAAAACCAGCACCCCTATTGGGCCAGAGCAATGATATCATCACAGGACAGGGGGACCACTGAAAATAGCAATAAAAATGGATCCTCCCCCCCTTTGCTACAAGGCCTAGTAATTAATGGACAAGCAAAACAACAGCAAGGAACAAACTTCCAAACAAAATGAAACTAGAACGTCCTAGGAAATAAAACCTTCACTGATTGACATTTAGTTTTCCATCCTTGCTCCTAACCGTTTTTCTGTTAAGAGGTTTTCCCCAGCAGAATTCTCCTTCTGCATAGAATTCCAAACATTGATTGATTTGATTACCAACATTTCTATGCCACTCTCCTTCCAGCAGCTCAGAGCAGCGTATGCCGAAAAAACCCAGAGGATTAAAAACAATACCACCAAAATAAATAATAGACCTTATCTAGTACTGACCAACAAGGGTAGACACCAAACAGGCTCTCTCCCAGAGCCAAGCTTTTACTTCTTTATTGAAACTGATTAGGGAGGAGGCAGTTCTTCTCCATGAGGGCCAGCTGCTCCAAAAGAGGGTGCCACAACTGAGAAGGCCCTGCTGTGGGGTCTCTGTGGCTGGAAGAGTGGCTCCTACAACTCTTTGCAGGCAGCAGTTTTAGGGATGGGTAGTATTGAATGACCATCCATTGGACAGGTCTGCAGATCCAGCTTCCAATACAAATGATCTATATTCTGTTGGCTAACAGGCTAGGGAATTAACCATTTTGGAAAAAAGAAACTCAACCAGCAGAACTGAGTAAGAGATTGCTGGACTTGGATACATCGAAAGGTTTCTGTGATGGAATGCAGAAGAGATCTAGGTTCCTAGGAAGGAGGGCAGGACAAGAGGCAACACAGTCCAGAGCAGGAGCGTGGGAGGAAGAGACTTAAGATAGCTGCTCCCTAGAATCTCCCAGGATATATCTATTAGGTTAGCATAGTACAGATTTAGTCTGGCAGGATTTTGTCTATATGGTGTAAGCAGTAAAATAACTGAACTTAGTTGGATCGTTTCCCTGTTGTTCTTGGGCTGGGCCTGATAGTGTCAGGCTATCCATGGGTTTTTCATATATTACAACTGTTAATTGATATGATACTTAGAATCTCTCTCACATGTAACCTGCCTCTGACATGTAACCCTGTCTTCTCCTTCCTTTCCCTTCCCCATGTCACACCAAAATCCTACAACAGCCTGGCCACTCCATGGGTTCTGATTAAGTGAGCTGTAACTTCATCACAAAAGATGATGCCTTTTATGTAGTAAAAGCTGTTAACTGGAAAAGGTGCTAACAGACTCCTCCTTGCATTACATTGGGGAAGACTAGTAGAATATTGTATGTAGGGATCAGGGCATGATATCACAACCTCTATGCCATTCTGGCACTTGGCTTTTAAACAGCAAGTCTGGCCAAGCTGAAGACAAGAATTCTCCTTTGACAAGAGATGCCCCATTCTTTTTGGGGTGGAGGCCCCTCTATGCTGTTTGAGTGACATGTTAGGGTTGCAGTTTGAAAAGAAGGCTCCAGATAAAGTAGTGGCAGGAGGGGGGGCATAACTAGGTACAGTTTAATTGCAGGGGGGCATGTTATACTGAGAAGTGGAGAAACAGGGCAAAGCACTTTAAATAGTAGCCAAGAAAACCACACTGATGCATCTATAGAATCACCAGGATTCAAGCTTGACTCAAAGGAGATATTCGCTTTCCTTAAATTTAATTTGAATTCAGATCAAATCAAATCAATCAAATCCAGTTTGTACAATTACTTCCAATGGACTTAATAAATTTGACATTCAAGAGCACAGTCTGGCAACAATGTGTGGAAGAACTGTGGGGACTGCATGTAGGGCTGTGGGGAAGGACTCGACACAATCTGCACATCAGACTGAATACCTGTTAGCTGATCTCACACCTGGGAGGCCAGATGTTCTTACAGCCCCATGGACCAGCATCAAGATCTGCTAAATTGGTCTGATAATCAGACCGATTCACCCCAATTCACCTGTTCACCCCAATTCATTCACCCCAACCCATTTTCCATAATGAAACCTTCTGTCTTGGCCCTTTATATTGCGTTAATCTCTTCTGGTATCTGACCTCTCAACTATTCACAATCTTATGTCTTTTCTCTGGGCAATGTGTCTATTATCCCACACCATATTTGGACAACATAGCTGCTTGCCCCAAGCAAAGCTGCAGGACTAGCAGTATTTTTCTCAGTGTGGGATTTTGAGGGCCATGGAGTTCACATCCCTCTGTTCAGCTTCTGTGCCAGCACTACAACTTTATTCCAATCAATTATTAATCTTATCAAAACTCATTATTGCTTATTTTGGAATTTGACTTTGCCCAGCTTGGCATCTTCTCTTCATTACAAGTTGAATAGCATTTGATTAAGAAGTAATGCTAGACATATCATTATGCCTAGCATTACTTCTTAACCACAGTTGTTTTGCAGGCACATATCTGAAAATATGTTGATTAAGGAAGAAGCTTGCATCAAAGGGCAAAGTGTATGTTCATAATCCACCACCCAACCTCACAAATGAGATGAAAACTTACTGGGTAAGATAAGCTTCTTCCAAGATGACTTTCAGCTAATACCAATCCCCCACCCAGCTATGATATTTACCCAAAAGCAAAGACATCTGAATGCTTGGAGAAAGGTAGTTTGTCTTCTTCTGTTTCAGGTGAGAGCTGGCGGATGATCTCTGGTGCTAAGTGGCACAGCCAGCCGTTTTGGATCCGCAGTTTATTCTCTCTCCTGGAGGAAAAAAGAATAGCCAATTATTGAAATTATGCTTACCTTGGCATTGTTATGTCTGAAACAAACAAAAAATCATATTGATTTTCTCACTATTCCCCAGACCCCATTCTGGACTGGCTTCTTTCTCATTCCCTCTCCCTCTTCTTCAATGACCGTTGGAGTTAGAAGATGGAAACAGAAAGAATAGGATCCCCTCCTGGGTACCTGTTTTGTTTTGCTTCATAGTAAATCAGCTCAGGAATCTGCTATTTTTACCTGATTTAACAAAAATGAGCTCGTAATAGTAATTTGAGTTTATTTGGCCTGAGAGATCTGAACTGGCAACATGAAGATAACACAGTGGGTTTTCGGTAAGCCAGGCTCCATCTTACATACATCAATCCTTTCCAATGACCTCCTGTCTCTGAAAATGACCAGACTCGTCACTTTGTTAAGCACCTACTCCTAGTGGTTGAAATTGAGGTGTTGACATTAATCTATAAAGCCCTAAAAGGCCTAGGATCCAGGTACTTCAAGGGACATCTCACTAATACCAGCTTGTGCATTACAATCATCTAAGGAAAACCCTGTTATGATCCTTCTGGTGAGCTTAGATCACAGTGTGGTAACCTGGTAACCTGGTGTCCTCTTAGTGGCACACCCCAATTATGGAACTTTTTCTTGAGGGAAAAGCTACTGGCCCATACTGTGTTGAATTTTAGATGACAGTTGATACATGCCTGTGAACTCAGGTACTTGTAAAATAATAACTACTCTAGGGTTAGACTATTTTTTGATGGAACGTTACATTACTTTTCTGCTTTCAAATGAGCTCCATTTTAATTTTTGAATTTATTATTTTTAAGGACTGCTGGTCTTATAACGACAGTTTTAAGGTTATTTTCACTGTTTTCTTACAGACTTCCCTAGGCTCTTTGAGAGGGATAGAGCAAGCAAACAAAGTACTGGACACCCTTGATCAACTGTAGATCCCCTAATGATCTATTAGTAGCTACTCAGATCTCCTTCCCTCTTCCGTTACTGGAGTAGGCATTGCTGACTAAGATGGATATACAATTTAACTCAGCATGAGAGCTTCATCCACCTTTTCTCACTTTCCTATTTTTGAAGTCCATGCTGCATCTTGGCCAAGATCCATTGGCTTCTAGCTCAACCAGAAGCTTCTGAGAAGATTACAGGCAGCTGGATACAAGTACTTCCCTCTGTTGTTCCTAACAACCATTATTCCTTGTTTGCACACTGGCTGAGATAGCAGCCACCTTCTGTGTACCAGGCACCTCCTTTCCTTCTACAGATTTCTGTTTCACTTGTGACTCATCCACTGAAAGTCAACTTTACAATTTAGAGACAGGAGTTAGCCAAAGGTGGTCCCTTCAGGTCTCTCAAACAACAACAACAACAACACCACAAAACAAATGCCTTAAGTGGAGCTGCTTCTACTTGAGCTCCTGTCAAACAGGAGGTGGCCTCAGGAGTTCAAACTGCTGAAATGAGAGCCAAATCAAAGCAAAAAAACTACCAGACAACAACAAAACTCTTCATTACAGTTTTATTCAGCAGCACACACGAAAACTTGTCACATTACTGTCAGTGGCTGGGAAAATGTCACTGCAAGTCCTCGCCACTGTCCTTGACATGAGTGGAGCTCAGATCCTCACCAAATGGACATGTCAGGTTCAAATATGGAGGCCAGCCCTGTGAGAACATAGTTCAGGCCCTGGCTTCTGGTGCCTTTGCCATGCATATTGGTGGCTTTGCCTTAGACACTACTTGAATGACACCCTTCTGGGCTCCACCTTGAAGATCAAGTGTCAGCATCCTTCAACAGGCGCACATGTCAGTCTCCCATCAGGAGCTCCCAGTGCTGTGGCAGCAAATGAGGCTTTTAATTGCAAGTGGCTGTTAAATGAATCGCCAAGGTCAGTTAAAAAAGCCCAAGGTTATGCTGTCTTACTTGTCATCAGGTTTACTGTCCCTGAGTCTCGCCTGCTTAGGATGGGAGGAAGGAGACAGAAGGCAAGCCGTGCTCCTCACATTTGCAGGCAGGCACACCACTAAAAGCTTCTATGCCAGAGATCATTAGCCTTCCACAGCACTAGACTTCATTTGATTTTATAGGCTTTGTGTTCCTTTCCTTTCCTTTCCTTTCCTTTCCTTTCCTTTCCTTTCCTTTCCTTTCCTTTCCTTTCCTTTCCTTTCCTTTCCTTTCCTTT